TGGCGTTGCTTATCGTGGATTCGTCCAAGTCAATGGCCATGATGGCCAGTGAAACGGAGCTTTGGAACAAAACTGGATGGCCATGAAACCGTCTTCGGAGACACAGACCATCCCAAAAGCATATTGTTGGGTACATCCGATATATCCCATGATTATCCTATGATTGTCCCTGTCTACCGCCATGTCCTCATGTTTCCCGCTGCAGGATCTGGCTGTTCTAGCCATGGGGTGCAGCCTGACAGCTGCAGAGGAGCGCTTTCCTCCTGCAGAACTTCCCCCAAAATCACTGGGTGGTTCTTATTGTGCAGGAACAATCAGGACTTCAATGGACATCAATGGACTAAACAAACCAAGATTACCAGATATTCTGTATGGTTAGGGTCCATCATGGCTTTAATTATGATATATTATGATAGCTATGGATATTAACCTACGCAATATTTTGATATATTGTACTTCTTTATCTGGCGGCTAAGTCTCCGACCAACTGTGTTGATTCGTCTCGCATTAGTCAGACTTGCTAGTCATCTGGATTCGTCGACAGATTTACGTAGAGTATACTATAGTATACATACAATTTACACATTATATATATACACACACATCCCCGTTCGAATTTCAACTACAGAATGGGAGGCCTTGTGCCCCGTTTCAAGGCCTTTCCAGGCTTAAATTAAGATGAAAAAATGGGGATGGGCCAGGCATTTTGTACCCGCAGCTTGGGAATTGCATTTTATAAGTTGTCAACGTTTCGGTAGTTGAAAGACCTTTAAAAATCGAAAGTCATTTTGTAGCAAGAGAATTTGCCCGTCGGAAGACAACATGTAAAAACCCAATCTCATTTTGTAGCAAGGGAAGTTGCCCTTCGGAAGTGTTCCCTTCAAGTAACCTGATGATAAAAACATATAAAAACCTATCTTCATTTATAGTGGTGGAGTGTCCCCTTCAAGTAACTTGATGATAAAAACCAATCTTCATTTTGTAGTATTGAAGTGTTCCCTTCAAGTAACCTGATGATAAAAGCATATAAAAACCAATCTTCATTTTGTAGTGGCGGAGTGTCCCCTTCAAGTATCTTGATGATAAAAACCAATCGTCATTTTGTAGTGGTGGAATTTCCCCTTCAAGTAACCTCATGATAAAAACCAATCTTCATTTTGTAGCAGTATCATGTTGTCATTTTCCGTAATCCTCTGGGGGTTGAGAACCATCATTTTATAATGGCTGAGGTTAGGAATTTTGATGCTTTGGTACAAAATGGGTTCTCGACCCCATAGTAGAAATTCAAACCGGGATATACACACGGGATATTATCCGACGATGGTGATTATTATGCTGGTGATGATGTGTTGGTGGTGGTGATGTTGAATGATAGCGACAATCAGACAACAACTCTCCGGATCAACAAGATTAAGTGGTAGAGCCAAATGTCACGGGTACATCATGTGGCACATGGGCGATGCTTCTCCAAATCGAGAAACCACAGTGGACAAACCATTGATGAGAAAAGCGTCATCAGTCGATGTGTTGCGAGCAAAACAATATCATTGGGTCATTTCACCTGGCAAGCTTTATTTTCCTTGCCAGAATTGGTTAATTTACTTGGACATCAACAAGAAACCATGGACATTTTCTTGGGGTTTTTCAGCCATGGTTTCCAGCTGCGATTTTCCCCTCTAATCATCCCAATGAGTCAATCCAATGATCTAAGTGAGGACAAGTGGTTTTTATTATTCGCTTATTATCCAGTGGTTTTTATGCAGTTACCCAGAAAAACTCGCAGGAGCGGGCCCTGTTGTCCGCCTACCTCGCGGTGGATGCTTCAGAAGCGGAGCTTCGCCAGTTCCAGGTGCAACTGGAATACTGAAGGTCCTCAAGAAATAGAGGATTTTAGTGGAGTTTCATTGTTTTGGATGGAAATGCCTGGATTTCCCATGGGATTTTGGCGGATTTAACTGCATCATGGATTTTGATGGAGTTGAAGCATCGAACAATTGGGGACAACACGAAACATGATGGATTTCAATCATACACCTTGGGATTTTGACAAACACCGGAGTTCTTCCCCATGGGTTTATGCGGTATATGATATATCCATATACTAATATATGTATGGATATATAGTTTCATGGTGACTTCTCTAGGTCCCACTTGTCCTAACGAGTCTACGTGTTTCCATTGCCCATCAGAGACATCTCAATACTTTGTTCAACATCAGAGCATTGCATGTGAAGAATGAGACTTGAGGGAAACTGATGCGAGTGTAGACTGAGGTAACCTGACATAACCTGAACTGTCAGATTTTTCAATGGCATGAACAATAATAGCTCTATACAGCTATGGCCGGTATACATCGGTATACCGGTATTTCATGGTATTTCTAGATTCAATGGATGATAAGCAAGTTACAACATGTTGGGTTGACGGGGGGGTTAGCCCGAGTTCAGCTGTGTTGAATTCTGGCAAAGTATTCTCCACTTCATCATACTTCATGTTCTCAGATCGTCCATCTTAGAAAACTGCGTTTTCGCCTAGGCGGCGTATCTTTTTTTGTGGCATCAATTTATTTGCTTTCTTGTTCATTGCGAAATATGATTTCCGTTGTTCATAGACACGTGTATGAACTTTTCGATCATTTTTTTGAAAATCTGAACGGATTTTTGAACCCTTACAGTAGATCGTCGCGTTTTTTCGTCTTGAATTTCACTCCTTTTATCACACTCATGTCTAAAGGATGTGGTATTTTTTCTGTCATCTGTCTAACCAGGAACACTCATGTCTAAAGCGCGTACCATCAACAACGTGAGCAAGTCACATGGAACGTTAACTCCCCCCAAAAATGTATAAAACAACAGTTCATAGAAGTTTTTTAATTTCAATTATAACAGTCTAAGCACAGATTTTCAATATTGTTGATTGCTTCATTTTTCAACAATATCAAAACTATAATGAAAATCATAACAGTCAAAGTATAGTTGCCTCATCCATTTTTCAAAATCACAACAGTTCAAAGAATAATACCATAAAACCATAACAGCATAGTAACAAAACCAAAAAACAAAAACAAACAACAAACAACAACAAAATCATCACTACCTACCATCAATCACCTCATTCATTTTTCACAAAATCGTCACTACCACCTATATCATCATCTCATTCATTTTCATAAAACATAACTACTAACCATCTATTACCTCATCCATTTTATAAAAATCACAACAGTCAATACATCATCACCTCATCCATTCCATACCCAAAACGACACAACCAAACAACAAACAAAATAACAAACCAAACAACATAAAAAACAAAGCAAAGGACAACAAAAAAGATAAACCCTTAACCTTTAATTTTCCTACCTTAGTCATCCATAATTCTAATAAATAAATATTATTAGAAATATGTTAGTAGTAAATGTCTTCAATAATTACTAATTTAAAATGAAATGCCTGTATTCCTATTATACTATCTTTATCTTGGTCTTCTATGTCGGTTTTTATTTCTTCAACTGCTTTCTCTAAAATTTCATCTACATTATCTTCATCTACATATTCATCAAAGTCATTCATAAAATAAATCTCTCTATAACTAAATTCATTTTCTCCATATTCCTTTTCTGGGAGTTTTGCCACTAATTGGACTTCAATATCAAGTTTAACTCTATAATTTAAACCATCTTCTACTTCTTCATAAATTGAAGATAACAATTCTTCTTTTCTTCTGTTATTATGTCTTCTGAACTTTTTAAACTAAATGGCACTCCCTCTCTCATAATACAGTATGGAGATTATATTTTTTTCTTGATTTCAAATGTTTTTTGCTATTTTAGGACCAAGTCTTGAAATCTTATATTTGTTTTGTATTCTCTTTAATGCCTCAATATGGCAATATTTAATTTTCATATGTTTAGGGTCACCAATTTTATAAGAAACAATTTACCACCGTCTACCCAACATGTTGCAGCCCCACGTTTGCAAGCCCGCCCCAGCCCAACAAAGATCTCTTCAGGCCTTGCGAGTGCTTGCAGCCTTGCGAGAGACTTTCTGGGGTGGGATGTCGGGACGGAGAGATCTGGTGAAACCTGGGACATATGGGGATAGCCGACATGTAACCACTGTAACCACGTTTTTTTTGGGGAAACCAACCATCCATCCTGAGGTTTAGTCTTCCACGTGCCTGGGAAATCCACAAAAACCAATGGTGATTTTCTTGAAGAAAACATCTATACATGGGTGATTTTGTATGGAGAGTAACCATCAAACATAGGACGTATTAGGGCGTTAAACAGCAAAAATACGGATTGATGCAACAAACATGGGGGAGTTCACTTAAGAACCGGTGGGGATATGGGATGACCACAATGTCCATCCACAATATCCACTGGATCTGGTCATAATCCCGAGGGCATTGATCTTTCCTCATCATTTCCGCGGACGTAGCGACCCTTTTTCCTGTAAGAGAATTGTCCCGATGAACTCTGGACACTCGAACCAGTGATAGATTCGTGCAACGACTTGACTGCGCAGAGGTCTCTGAGCACTGGATATCCAGATGGTGAACTGTAGAGTGAAATAATTACCTAGGGTTTAGTCATTGAGGATATTGAGGATCAAAATTGGGGATTAAATATGAAATAATTAGTCCAATCTGGGAACCGTAGGTAGCTGCTATCAACCAACATTTGGGGTTTATCATCTCATCTCCAGACTTGGCACCTGAAGATGGTCTACTCTGTGCACGTTTCTCTCCTCAAAGTTGGACGCCCTAAAATGGCGCTATCTCTTGGCCAAAAATCATGATGGACCATTGACCATTTTTTTTTTTAATGAGTTAACGGGGTTTTCCAATTTTTTTTTGGATCGTTCCCAGGATATCATTGGACTCCTCGCGTGGTCAGGTGTCACCGCTGAGCTGAGCAAAAGTAGCGCCTTGAGCATGGAAGAAGCGGTGAATTACACAGACATGAGCCTTGGCGTGGCAACGGTGCGGACCGGAAGAACCGGTTCGAGGTGAAGGCCGTAATGGTGTGGAAGCCATAGTTCCGGAATGATTAATAGTGAACAATCCTAATTAATGATCATATCCTTGGTTTGCCTTGCAGCTTAAAAACCTTGATTGTTTCCTTTCGAGATTGTGAAGTGGAGAGATGTGGAGAGCTTGGAGATACCATGAGATACCCTGCTTGGCGCAGCCACTTTGTGTTCAAACGTTGCTCCGTGGTCAGGCCTCTTGACATGAGATTGAGCTTGCCGCCCGCCATGAGCGATCAGAAAGTGACGACACTCTCCATGCGTGCGTTGGCCTTGGAACCTCCGAACGTCTCACTCTTGCGGAAGTTTCCAGATGCCCTTGGCCTGCCAGCTCAACATGCAGCTCGCCCCATTCGCCATCAAGTGCAGAACCATGTCGAGCCAAAAACTTCTGAGGTCTCAACAACCGAAGTCCAGCAGTGAGTCGTCATTTGCCTACTACGGCGTTCGTTTGTCTTTTTGATTTTGCTCCAAAACCTGGGGAAGGTGAGAAGGTTTGTGCCTTTTCTCCAGAGAATTCAGTGCCCCTTGGAGCACCAACCGGCAGATTAACACATCACCCGGATGCTCCACGGAGACAGTCCGACACAATTTGGGTATCCATCCGGCAGGGAGGTTTGAATCTTTTCACCTCGAACATCAGATCAGTACATTTGACACCGAACCATACCGAACCCACTTTCCACTGCTCGGCAGGAACCGTCACAGCCTCCAAGGTCGTAGAACACTATGCGAGACTGCTTCTTTTCAAGTCGGATTGCATTATTTTGAAACAACCTGGAAAGCCAGGTGTCCTATTTTTTAAGGCAACTACGCCAGTGTGTACCAGGTACCATTTTCATCGCACTTTTTGGAAGTAAAACGTTGCCTATTTGGATTTTTCCATCCGCTCTTTATGTGTCACTTCACGGATTACCGCCATTTTTACCCATATTTCCGGTGCTTTTGCACATGTGATTTCAGCAAAGTGCATCACTTTGAACGCATTTGCCTTTCTTTTGCTCGATTCTTGAAAGTGGCATGGAAAACTGCCACGTTCCAAGAGTTGCCAACGAAAATAGGACACTTTGGCGTTCCAGGCATGTCTTTATTTGTACAGAGGTACTCTTCTCCGCCTTTGCTTGATCGAAGCAACTATATAGATTTGATTAATAAGATCTGAGGAAGTGCGATGCCATAAGAGTGTTGAGTATGTAGCTGCCCAGCTATTGAAACCAACCGGTGCAGCTGTGTATCAAAGATGATAAAAGATCCAATCCTAGACGCAATTGCGATGGTACTTGTGGAATGGAGTCAAAGCCCGAAGCAGTTTGCTCATTTTATATATTAAATCCTGGTAATTAATTAAGACAAAATGATGCAATCTGATACATGATTTACTGGTTGATCCCTATACCTATCCCTACCTCAATGATTTCTAGCCCTCTCAAGCAGTGGCTACAAGAGTCCTGAATTTTGAAGACAAATTGGTCGGGCACAAAGCCCGGAGAAATCGCAGCTCGCGCTGCAAAAAGAGGCGAGGCTGGCGAGGACTCGGACTCACGCCGCAGCGTGATCTTCTCTTGTGTCTTACGGCAAGATCCTTCTTGTGAGGCAATTTCTTTCCATTTCCAAAACTTAGCTGCCTCGGACTAGCAGTGACTGGCTTCAAAATCGGCTGTTGCCCTTGCTCATCAATCCATTTTTGTTATTAGTATCTTCACCATCAGGAGGTTTCTTGTGACACAGCCACCAACCAAGGAACTTCAAGAAATTCCTCGAGTTGAAAGAGGTGGGAGGAAGGTGGATGTGCCCTTTAATGTTCTTTGTATATGTCACTAGTTTCGATGCATAGATTCTATGAGACCCAGGGGGTTTTCATTGTGAAAAAACCACCCGGGGTTTCTTACGAACAGGTGAGCCATAGCAGGTGAGCTGCGTTGAGTGGACATGCCAGGCTTTTCTGAGTGCTTAAAGCGGATGACAAGGACAGATCAACCACGGCTGTGACATTTTCCAGATAGCTGGCCCAGCAGCTGGCATTGGAAACTAGGGGATATGATGTGCGGATGAAGATACCGAATACCAAGCTATACACACATGATGTGCATGTGGAAACCAGTGGAAACCCGGGTACTTCCGAGCCTGGGCAGCAAGTAGTCTATGCTCCCCAGAAAATGGGATGATTGGGGTAACACTCCTGGTTTCCTGTTTTTTTCATCTTTCCTTCAAACCAATATTGATGGGTTGATCTGAAAATGGGCCACCCGTGGCTACCCCAGAATTCCATCAACGCATCAATTCCGATTCAATTGGCTCTTTGGGGTGTATACCCAGAACATTTGTGCCGACATCATTCCGGCTTTTCCCCACAAAACTCTCCCCCAGGACTCGCAGTTGCACGGCAGTGCATCGATGCTGCGAGTTGCCACACGTCGCAAGAAAAAAAGTCTCCACCTGGTTCCTCAAAGTGACCTTTCTCACTCAAAAAGGTAAAAATATGGGTATTTTCCCAACATTTACCACTATTTTCCCAACATTTACCATCTTTGGTTTCAACAACCAAGTCGAGGTTAAGGGTTAAGTAACCACTTCTTAACCCCCAGGGTCACTTAACCACCCCAAGGGGGGCGCCTTCGGAAGCGAAGAACCTGGTCCCCATAGGATGATTCAACTGAGAACCAGGCGGCGGCCGCACGCAGTTTAGCTTCCAACAAGGCCGGTGCAGAGAAGTTTTGAAATGGGGTTGAAGATGGTTGAAGAATGTGCAGGTAGAGTATGTAGATTTTGGAGTGATTTTTTCCGCTGTGAACTGGTTGTTTGGAATAATCAGGTCTAGCTTTGGAAGATTGGAACATTGTTGGCGTCTTGAGGCATAGAAGCCATTTTGATGCGAGAGGAACTTGACATTTTTGAACCATTTTTGTCATTGCAAGCTGTCGACTGCTTCGTTGGTAGCTACTTATTCATGCCTTATGAGTGGCACAGGGTCAAGTTCTGAACCTGCAAGCTGTGCCAGTCGTTCTTTATGCAGCTTTGCTCAAGATTCATACATCCGATAACAAAAGACATGAATGATCCAGTGAGTGAGGCCTTTTATGCCGAGTTGGAGATTGTATTTATTTGTTGTCAAACTCAGATTTGGTGGAAGATCAGTTGAGCTGCCCTGACTATGTTCGTTCAAGGCTGGGGGAATGTAGCAGGTGGCTTCAGGAACTCAGAAAGCATATTCCAGTGCCCCCCCCACAATAGTCCAGAGGTTTCCAGAGGTTCTCCATTTTTCCCACATTTTTCCCATTTTGGGACATGGACCAAACATGTTAACATCATCCCATTGGACCATCGCTGCATCGCCGCCTCGCATGGGAGATGGCACCGATGGCACCGATGGCACCTGCCGGGCCCAGTTCTGCAAGGCTCGTTGCTACCGCGATGCCTGGCCCAAGGGTCGCCAGGTGGGCGCCCAGGCCCAGGCAGCCCAGGCAGCTGGTGAGGTCTCCAAGTTGGCAGAGGTCCAGGAGATCTTAGAGGGGAGGATTTTTGTGACTAAGCTGCAGGGGATGAAGGATTCAGAACCTCCGTGACCTTTTCAATTTGTTTATCGAACAAAAAAAAGAACTAATGCGATACTTTTTCAAGTTATAGGGCCATTATTTTGTGGACGCTTGATGTTGACCAACGGCGAGAAAAAAGTGTCTTCCGCGATCTGATCACGGCCAGACTTTGGGTGGCAAGTGGCCAAGTGGCCACAGAAGAGTCCTGAACATTCCTGAACTATATTGAACAAAGCAATTTGAACTGGCTTCTTGAAGCATATATAGACCATTGTAGACCCTTCCATTTGTTGTCCCAGAAAACAGCAACATCATGCCAGCTTCTTCTCCCGGTTTTTATTACTTCGTCCATACCCATCCCATCCACCGTCCCCAAGCTGACAACAGAACATTTCCGGAGGGTAAATTCATCCACCAGCTCCCCATCGAAAAGGTGGCTTTACTATGGTTTATATATTTTTATATAAAGATATATATATATATATAATTATATTATATATATTATGCAGCATGCATATTATATATATTACATACATATATTGCTATCATTGAAGTTAAGTTCAATCAGTCTCAATAGCATACTTATTACACTATTAGAATATATATATATAAGACCCTTAGCGTGTATGTAAGGTTAAGGTAACCCCCTTTTGACCCAACCATTTGATGAATATGTCAAAAAGGTAGGTTTCAGGTGGGGTACCACATATATTATTATTATTATTATAATTAAATTATAATATAATATAATATAATATTATATAATATTATATAATATAATATTATATTATATTATATTATATTATATTATATTATATTATATATTTACATATATATATATATACAGAGATATACATATATATATAGATATACGTATATATATATATACGTATATATATATATACAAATAAATGAATAAATAAGTAAATAAATCCATCCACCCACCCATCCATTCATCCATCCATCCATCCATCCATCCATCCATACATGTACATGTACATGTACATATACATGTACATAACACATATACATATACATATATAGCTTTCTAAAGTGCTTGATTTTGTAGCATCATCTGAACCTTCGATAGCTCAAACATGGGCACAATCCATCTAAAACCATCTAATTTCACCATTCCAGGTGTCCATCGTGGCCTACTGCGACAGCGAGCTTTGCTCGACGCTTCAGGCGCTGCTGGCGCGGTGCGAGGCGCCGTGGCGGCTGAGCGTCGGCCTGGTCTGGCAGGGACCCACGGAGGAGCTGCAGCTGCCGGAGCTGCAGCAGTGGTGGCCATGGCCAGAGAGGAGGACATTGCAGAGAGGTCTGGGGGATGGTGGGAAAGATCGTATGTCTATAATATATATATATATATCTCTTATATATATATACATATATTATATATTATATATGTACATGTATATGTATATATATATGATGAAACAATCTGACATATTGAATCTACATTATACTTATAGATTTGAACAATTATGTGAGTATGTGTACAATTAGGATCCGTAGTACTTATAGCCTTATAGCTTAATAATTTAAACGTGTTCTTGGATCATGTCATTACTGGCCTGGAAGTTATCAGCTGGAGGACGGAGAGGCCAATCGTGCTGCCCAATGGGACCACTTTGAAATCCTCCATTCGCCATGGAGGTCACTTGCGCATCATCAGCATGCCGGCCGAAGACGCCCGAGGTCCCTGTTGGGCCAGATATTTGGCTCAGCTCCTCTGGGAAAACGAAGAACTGTACTTCGGCTCTTTGAAACGTGTTTTGGACCGTTTCCAAAACGCTGTGGTTCTCTGATTTTAGATCCAACCTAAGTGACCACTATTTCTGTGGCGTGGCTCATCTTCCAAGGTATTTACAACTGGACAGCCACATGCGCTTCGTAGCTTCTTGGGACCTCAAAGCACGGCAGCAGCTGCGAAGCTGCAGGGAAAGGTCCGAGAAACCCATCTTGTGTAGCTATGGAAACTGGTTGATGGAGTGATAAATACATGGGTTTGTCTGAAAATGGGCAATACAAACATATAAAAACCTCAATTTTGGCAGGTTAAAAGGGAGAACAATTATGAACCATTGAATTTTGGGTCTCCTATTTTTAGACAAACCCACCTTTATTGATTTTTTCATCCCCTCAAAATGAGAAGAATTCATGAGCGCATATGGGCGCTGTAGCCCAGTACCACTTCAATGGTGGTTTCATTCATATTTCTTGTTTTTTGTTGGGCCAACAGAATAGGATTGTGATCCCAAGTAACTTGATCATGTTGTTTAGGGCCTAGATGGCTCAGCCACCAGGAAGGGCGTATCAACATGGAACCCCCTACAACCTTGCGCCCAGCAACATCACGGGCTGCTTGAACTGCGCGGCCTTTTTTGATCAGAACGACATCTTGAACATCCGCGACCTGGATGTGCTGAGGAATTGGGAATCTATTTCTAAGTGTTCCTATTTTTGGCCCTATTGGTGAATTTCCGATTTATGGATTTTCTATTGGTTCACCCGCCACAACGGGAAACTCGATTTTTTTGATTTTGAGAGGTCCCGGCTGAGCATATTCCAAGGCTACCGCGCGCTGCGAAGGGACTGGGAGGAGCCAAGGGAAAGCTTCTACTGGAGCGCCCACTTCTCTTTCAGTTCCTCGCGGGTGTTGAGGGAAGTGCCCTACGATCCGCGGCTGCTGATGCTCTTCTTTGGGGAGGTTCCGTCAAAGTTGTGAATTCCACAACAAAACCCACGGGGCCTACAGATGGCAGGGAAATTTCGCCTTTCATCTTCATCAGGTTTCAACCTGGTTTCACCACCCCCGGGGAGGTCTTCCATGCCACCACCTTCCCCGATCCCTCAGCCGCAGGAGATCTTGATGACGGTACGCTTCTTCACGCACGGCTGGGATCTCTTCAGCCCCTCGGAGGGCCTGGTTTTTCACCTCTGGCAGCGAGACTACCGCAGGGTCTATGCTGAAGATATGAAGGTGGCCAGCTGGCCGCGGGGGCAGATTTGGATGGCTTTGCTCGGTCTTGCCGGGGATGGATGGATAGGGTTGGGGAATGTTTTTTTGTTTTTTTCGAGAAATGATGAATGACCAGGCATTGAAGATTGACATTTCTCGATATAGATAAAGATAGAAAAAAACAGAGGCGATTGCCTAGTTCAAATGCGCTGTTTTTGGTTGGTGCTTCAGGTGTACATGCTGCATATGACATGAGGTAGTACAGTAGTTTGTTTGCAGTGGGGATAACCAGGTGTTCATGGTCACCCATTCGCGACCGAATTCCCAGATTTTTGCCTAGGTTCCCTACCCAAGTTTTCAGAGATTCTCCACTGAAATTTGGAGGTTTATTAAAAAACATGGGGGTATCGCCAACTCATCCATTTTAAATCATGTTGATAGGATTTTCCATGAAACCATCCAGCTAAAAAGGGGTCCCCCTAGAGCTCCCAGGAGCTCTACCAAGATCTCTGTCGCGGCTCCCGGCGACGACTCCATGGGATGTTGGGATCTGGACCAGGAGCCGGTGATCAAACATGGGGCCCCCATAGGGACGGGATATCAACCAACAATCATGGGAATAACGGGAGATATTTGTGGGGAAACCATCCTGAATCAAAGATTGGGATATCTGATGAGATATCCCCGAAATAAATCAACGGGCATCTATGGGGTTTCATCATCGAAGTAAGAGGTGGAGAATCCAGCAAACCATATAAAAAAGATTACCAGAGGGTGATGGTTCATATCCCATTCGGATCAAATCATGAGATGTGACTGGTGTTGTATCCACCAAAGAAATATCCGATATGAGCCATGCACATTCTGATGAAAAGCCTGCCACCAGTGTTGGTTCTGTTGTGAGGACAGGTCAACACTGACTACTGTAGGGATCAACAAACTTTTGCGGTTCCTGAGCACTACAGTTTGTTGTTTGATGTTGTTTGTAAAAATCCTCTATGCCTTTTGTTGCGGCCCTAGTTCTATCCTGTTTACCCCCCGTTGCAAGCCTACCGTTTAGATAGTTCTAGATCCTGAAGACGAAGCAAACAAACACGTGGCTTTGGACCCCTCTAAATAGAATTGGTTTCTGGTTACCACCATTATCCACCTTTATCAGGCTGGATTTTTTTACATACCGGTGGACTATGGTGGAATCAGCGGCTGCAAGAAATTGGGATGGTCATCAGAACCTTACGGTCCTAGGGGCCCGGCATTTGATACCCAATTTGCTGCTCAACATAGACATGGTAGATCCATCTTGTTGATTCCGTTTGGTTGATAGCCCCTGATTTTATTGAATATTCTAATTTATTAAAGCATGTTAAAGCACTTCCAATCCATTGTTAGTTGGTTAATTCCCACTTAAATCCCTAATCATAGTTAGTGAATCCTTATTTTTCACCATTGTTAGTTGGGTTTATACGGTATACCCCCATCCCAGGCGCCTTTTTCCACGAGACCTGCGAGCCCTGGCCGCTCCCTGGTGGCCTCTGTGTGGAGAGCGGCGCCGAGCGGGATCCCTTCGGACTGGGCTGCCAGCGATCGCTACAGGACTATGAGAAGCGTGCAGGTTGGAGCCTGAGCCAATATTGAGTGGACTTAGGCAGGGTGTCTTATGTCAGATATTTTGTCTGTGATAACATAGTCAAAGAATATATATATAACCCATATATATATAATATTATATAATTATGTATACAATTATGTGTATAACACTATATAAATAATTATCTATAATTCTATTTATATAATGCAATAATAAATGGGGATTGATCAAATCCTATGAAATGCCCGGGGAATGAACACCTGCGAATCCCAGCTATTTTACTGAAGAGAAGGGTACCGGGGTTTTGAGCCACAGCCAGAACCATGTATGTATATATACTGTAATTATAAACAAGCAGAAGCTGAATACCCCGGACACATACATATATATATATAAAACACTATAATTATAGTTATAACTATATATATACACACATATATATATGTATATAATCAGCAATGACATGGGGTAGAAAGCCTCAAACATGGAATTTTAGCGAAGAATTATGCGACCATTCCGTGGGTACAAACGACTAGCGTGACTAGTTGACTGCTGGGTTAACGGCTACCGCTTTGCTGCAGGTATCTAATGCTAGATGTTGGCTATGAACCCACCAACCAACTGACCAACCAGAAACCAACCACCTGGATAACGGACCAAGCAAACCCTTCGAAAGCAAGGAAGGAAGCAAGTAAGCAAGCAACTAGCAGAGCCAGCCAAGCCAGACCCTCCGATCCAAACCATACCAAATACAGAAACCAAGCAACCAGCCAACTTTTTGCCTTTGCACTGAACTGACTCACCAAATGGGCATAAAGTGTCAGTTTGGCCTCAATTGGGCCATGCAAAAAAGCTTCGAAACATTCTGATCGGTTCCAGCAGGTTCCACCAGGTTCCAGCAGGTCACCTCCTGCAGGCGTCAACTTCGCGGAGCGCAAACTCAGTGACTTTGCCCTGCGCGGTGGAGCGCCGGCCGAGGACTGCTTCCTCACCCAAGAGACCGGAAATCAAGCCGCTGTGGAGCCTTGGAAGTAGGGGTGCGCAAGCTGAGTAAACTCTGGGACCAGATGTATTGTGGGATTGGCAACATGAACCCCCACTTGACTTTGGAAATCAGTTTTTTTGCTTGTTTTTAATGCCACCAGATGGGAAAAGTATGTAAACATGAAGAAATGCGGTGTGGTTCATATTGGGTTTATCATTTGTCTCATTGCAGTTGTCTGGTGGATAACCCCAGCAGTTGCAGTAGGGGTATTGAAAGCCGAACTCATAGGCAATCATAGGAATATACAGGGAGCTGGAAGAGGTTTTGGTTCTTTTTCTTTCTCTACATTTATATAGAATGATGAATCGGACTGCTGTCACCACGAGCTGTCCGATTACTGTATCTCTCTCTCTCTCTCTTTCTCTATATATATATATGTATATATATATATATGTGTCGTATGTATACCATCCACGGCCATCCTGTGCTCCGGTCGAAAGGAACTGCAATGCCAAAGTGACATGCAAAAGATGCAGCGGGAACGCGCCCGACATGGAAGAGAAAAGAGCAGCGCGGAAATTCCACCCGTTCGAAGCCATAGATTGTCTTTGAGTGCAGTATGAAAGAGAAACCCATCCATACCCAACTGATCCCAAGTGTCTATCTGCCCATCTACTCTTCTCCAATCTACTCTAATTGCTCTCAATTTAATCAGCTTCAGACGTCCAAAGTGCCAGGTGGCGGCGGTGGTGGCTTCCAGTTCGGTGGGTGGGGAAGCCAATCCGATCCTTGTTGCGGAATTTCACAAACAAGGGTCGGTTCAATGGGATTTGCATAGTGGATTGTGATAATCCCATATATATATATGTATACACATAATATATATATATAGATAGATATACATAAAGTATGTACCATCAATCATATTGTTTGGTGTAACCCCCAAATTACAATTTTCATCAACTGTATTTTTCGCATTACTCATTTGGTCACTTTTTTTGGTGGGTTCCCCTATGATTTGTTGCATGGAACAACATGTTCAACCTGTCACTGCAGCACAGGTGAGTGGTACGTCCCAGTTAGTGGGTTATAAGCCCAGCTATAAACAGAATAAGTTGGGTTAGGCCAGTTCAAACTGGAGCGATTTGCAGCCACTAACCAACTGGGGTGGTTCACCACCAGGGTCCCTTTTTCGGTCAGGTTCCCAGGTGGACCTGGTGGTGGAGGCTCCGGATGCCAAGATGGATTTTTTGGTCCAGAAACACTTTTCGGAACTTCCAAAAAAAATCATCACCATGGATTTTCCCGTGAAGTCCTGTGAAGTCCTGTGAAGTCCTGGGGCCTGGAGGTTTGTTTCTTTTTATCAGCCCATGCCATGGTCCCATGTTGAAGCTCCAGGCCGGCCCAATCGAGGCCCAATCGGGGATGCGGAACTGCGGCACGTCCCCACGTTTTTTGGGGTTACAAAGGGGTCACCTTTGTCGGGTTGGTTGAATGCGTATGAGGAGTTGATGATACCCTCCAGTAAACATACAAAAAACTATGGAAAGATCCACCATTTTTATTGGGTAAATCCAATATTTCGACTGGGCCATTTTCAATAGCTATGTTAGTTTACCAGAGGGTAATATATTGTAATCCACAGTGGGAATCCTTTTGAGCCAGTATAGAAGGGAAAGACAGAAACTCTTGGATGCTGCTCAATGTTTCTTGGCCCTAGTTGCCCATAGCTTTGTTTGTCGGCTTTGTTTGTCGGTTCTTTTCGAACTGTGTTCTTTTTGCAGGTAGCAAGCTCCTCTTCCAAGACGTGTTCCGAACCTCAGCCATACCAGACTGACACGAGGTCTTTTTTTGATCCACCCTATGGTGGTTGGTCAAAGTCGAGTGTCTGAACGCTACAAGTACCACCTGAGCTGGGTAGGATTTCGAAAAGGACCAGGATCCCTTAAACACGAAAAGTTGATGAGGTATCCCCCTGGCTGCTACGTCTTTTAGGTTGTGTTTCTTATTCAGCCTATTCCTCAGGTGGCTATAGCCAGGTTTTGAAATTTGGAGCTCTACTTTAATGTTTATTTCCCTTACAGCTTCCAGTTTACGTGTCATGTTTCCTCTTCATTCCTCAAGTTTTGATCGTGATTTGCAGTTCACATCCTCAGATGTCTGAACTTATCGCCTCACATTTTCCAGTCTTGGATTAAACATCACTTTTTGGTGCTCTAGATTTCTCGCCTTGCAAGGTTCTGTACATTTGCACATTTTCTCAGCTTCTCGGTGGTTTGAACGTCACTTTTCCGTGCTTTGATACATCCTAGTGAGCCGGAGAGCCAGCAAACGGTCCCCAGTAAGATAGTGTGATACATTTGTTGTGACTGAAGCTTCTTTGCTTAAGGAGTTTGTTCAAAGGGGGGGCCTGTTCTCCAGCACGGCGGACGTTGCACTCTGTGGAGCTGGGAGGACCTACTTCTCTGAGTGGATCCTTCTGTCAGTCTCTGCAGTGTGTGGCTGACGTCATGGCTGGAGAACGTTTGGCCCCATGGCGAAAAACAGGTCGCAGGGCTGACCCGCGACACTTCGAAGGCTTAGAAACTGGGGCCTTCCTGGAGTTCTCTGGCTACGATGACCGTCATCGCCAGCAAGGACGGATCTTAGGCTATTTGTCCGGAGTGGGCCTCGAGACCAACATCACCGGAGGTCGAGTCTTTGAAGGGCAGGTGTTGGCAATTGAAGATGAATACTATGAATACTGGTTTGAAAATCTGTATGGGCGGCTTGCAGATTCGCCCGTGGTCTTCTTTCACTTTTGTGATGTGCCAGTCGGGATTTGTGGGAGCCTGACTGAATTCCGCAATCCGATTCATATAGATGTGTTCCGCCTGGTCAGTCCTACACAGGCGGGAAAATTGGCATGGCTGACTGATGCCAAGAAGGATTTTGTCAAAATGCACCCGGCTATTGTTGGGGGGGCGGATGTTCCTGGGGGTGGGGTTACTTCCACACCTGGGGCAAACCAACCTCTTGACAATCAGCCCAGACAGGTGCGAACGGGCGCTGAGGGAGTTGAAGGATTGGCCCGCGCTCTTGGTGGAGCGCCCGGAGGAAACAAGCGCCCTGCCAGTGAGGAATCTGAACCTCCTCCTAAGGAGGGCCGAAAGAAGAAGAAGGAGAGGCATCGAGGACGCTCTCGAAAAAGATCTGACAGTGACCCGGAAAAGCCCGACAAGAAGAAGAAGCCCCATCGACATGGCAAGGACCAGGATGAGAGTGAAGGAGGTCCACTGCGAGAGGAGCTCAACAAGAAGACGCCCCCAGTTCCTCGTTTATCAGCTTTGGAGTTGGAAGGAGGACACAAGAAGAAGAAGAAGAAACGAAAAAGCCGTGGCTCCACCAGTGAGGGCCGAGATCGTTGTAGCCCCTCGTCTTCATCGAGCACTGGGGAGCTTTTTCATTCTGCCGCCCTCCCGCGGGGCATGGAACGCCTCAGGCGCATGCATCAGAAGAACCCGGGCCGCCTGGCCTCTTTGAGCCTGCTGAGAATGCAGGAACTCGTGCATCGCGCCCAAGGGAGGGGAACGGCAGTGGAGATGACAGACCAATTACCAGCGGTGGCCATGGGTTATGTAGCAGGAGTGTTTCTGGTGCAGAACCCTCCAAGCCAGGTGGGGATTCGCAACTTGCGGGAGCTCAAGACGGTTGCGACCGTCATAGACATGCTGTGTCAGAACGACCCTCTTCGGGCCTTGGACGTGATGGTCCAAAGATTCAAAGCGCTGGAGCTGGCGCACAAGCAGCAGAGTTGGTCGCAGGCATCGCAACTCGAACTGGTGTTGGAGGACGACCAGTCAGCGGTCTTCAGACCGGAACTCAAAGCAGCACAGTCCGAGGTGAAGGAGGACTGGAAGATTCAGAAAGGTCCCTTCCGCCCGCCGAGGCAGTCAGCGTGGGGGACAAATTGGGCACCCACGAACGAGGGGATCGAAGGAAAAGGCGACGGAGACACCAAGGACTCGCCACCAACCAACCAACCGAAAGGAGGAGGCAAGAAAGGGAAAGGCAAAGGCAAGAAAGGCCGTGTTGGTCGAAGGTGACCCTTGTTGAAGGCCAGCTGGAGCTGCCGGCCTTGGAGCGAGCTCTCAGGGACTCACCGGTGGACGACCAGTTTACAGAAAACCTGCGGTACTTGCTCCGGGACAGCAGGCTACACAAGCTATATGGAAGTATCCTTGAATCCTATGAGAGCCTTGAGGATAAACGACGAGTCTATGAGGACTTCACATCCTTGATGGTTGAGTGGAGTAACCACACGCCCGACATGATCCTGAAGCTGCTTGAGAATTTCTACAGACCACTGGCCAGGGAAGGAGGAGTTTATGGAGACGCAGGTTTTGGCCGAGTGATGGGTGATGTTGCTGAGTGGCCCCAAGGTGGCACTGGAAGACATCAGCGTGCCAGAGAGGGCAAGCTGCTGGGCGTTGTTGGCACCAGTCAAGTGCGTGAGGTTTTCTCCGGTTGGGAAGCTGCTGATGGGGGAGTCTATGTTGGCGATGGTAGTGAGCACTTTCCTACCTCAATTTTCAGGGAAAACTATGCGGACAACATCGCAGTGGAGGATGCGGCCGCAGTCTTGGATGGAAGACCGCTGTATGTTGACCCGGAGGGATTTTCCACCGCAGCAGAGGTTGTTGAGAAGTTCTCGGTCACCGGAAAGAAGGATGTCTGGACTTGGGAATATTGCCAGGAGTTCATGGCAAGCCAGCTTCGTGGTGAAGTCTCTGTCTCCCTTGTCGGGGTGGTGCTAAAAATGGTTTTGAAGCGCTGCCCTGGGCATCTGGGAAATATCTGCCGTATGATCCCAGCCTGCGCTAGGAGGCAATTTAGACAGAGCCCCATTGAGCTGCTGCCAATTGCAGTTCCTCCTGACACCCAGGTTGAAATTCGGTTGCAACGCTTGCTGCTGGATGGTGATCAAATCCGTCACCTGTCGGATGCAGAGAGGGCATCGGCATTTGAGCTTGCCAAGGAATGTGGCACTGATGCATGGCTGGGGTTAATCCTGGCTGTGCTCAACGCCCTGTTCTGTGGCGGCTCCCGGCCTCTAGGCAAAGTGATGCCCCATCCACGCATTCATACTCCAGAACAGCAGAAGGTCATCGACCAATTCCGTGGGCTCATCCACCTTTGGATTGAAGAGGATCAGCACCGATTAAGGGTGACAAACTGGGAAGTTCAGTCACAGGAGCTTGGTGACTTTTATACAGGTTTTGAGGTCACCAAAGCGTACAAGCTCAGTTGGGCAGCCATTGCTCCGCATGTTCCTGGACCTGGCGAAGCAGGACGGGTCCCACTTGAGGAAACGGTCGCAGCTGAGCTGAGAGAATTTGTGGCAGATCCCGATTTGCTGAGGATCCCAGACGACGAGCTGGGAGAGGTAAGGTACTCTGCCCCTGTATTGGTGGAATCAAGCTCGGAGTACGACCTCATTGTAAAACACTTGGTGGAAGCTGGAATGCTTGAGCGTGAAGTTCCAGCTGAGACAGTGAAGGTCAACGGAGCACCAATCTACAATGGCTTGTTTGGAGTCCACAAAGGCTGGATTGATGAAGGAGGTGGCAAGTGGCGCCGTTCATTGCGCCTCATCGTCAACCTGATCCCGACCAACTTACTGCAACGGCGCATGCCCGAGCAAGCTTCAAAGTCAATGGGTTACGCTCCGATGTGGGGCTCAATGGCGCTGCTGGAGGACGAGGTCATTTTGGCGTATGGTGAGGATATCAAACACTGCTTCCACATCTTTTCACCTGGCCCTCGTTGGAGGGGATACTTTGTCATCTCCAAGGAAGCTAGTGGAAGCAGCTTCAACGACGGTGTCAAGGGGAAGGCACGACCTCGTGTCCGCTCAGCACCAATGGGTTGGGCCAACATAGTCGATTTCGTCCAGTCCTCCCTCGAGAAAATGGGCAGCTTGGCCGGAATCCCAGCGACGAAGTGCGTGAAGATGGGGGAGCCCAGTCCACTTTTGGAACTCAGCACGCCCCGGCAGTATCATAGTTTCTATGTTGATAACTATGATGGTTTCCTTGTCGTAGCCCGAACCGATCTGGGAGAATATCAGGGCCGACCTTCAGACAGCCAGCTAGAACTCAGACGAACTTTTCAAGCATGGAACATAGGGCGAGATGAGAAGAAAGCCGCAGAGGGGACCCTGCAGTGGGTGAGCTTGGGCGCCGAACAGCTGGGAACTGAGGGATTGGTTGGAAGTTCAAGGAAGTTCCGAAGGTCAGTGATGTCGTCGTCCCTCAACCTCCTCATGAAGGCTGGCATGAAGACATGTGACCTGGAGTTGCTGTCAATTGTGGGCAAACACATGCATGCCGTACAGTACTGCCGGCCATTGGCGTGCTGCTTTGATGAACTGTATCGCAACCTCAGCCTGGACGATCCAGAGGTGCTTGTGGACATCAGTGCTTATGAGGAGCTCTTGATGGTGACGGCCTTGCTCCCGATCCTCTGGACAAGCCAACGCTCAGCTTTGAGCCCCACAGTGTATGCTACTGATGCATCACCGGAGGGTGGGGGAGCATGTCAGACCACGAACCTTTCAGCAAGGGGCCGCTCGAAGCTCCATCTTGCTTGCTCTGAAGCCGATGACATGGAGGGCGGCGCTTGTGACTCAGTGGTTGTCATTGAAGTCTTTGGTGGTATGGGTGGCCTACGAAAGGCCCTTGAACTTCTTGGCATTTTGCCGCAGGGCATCATTCTCATCGACTCTGACCCTGTCTGCCTGAAACTTGCGAAGCGGCACTGCGCTTTTGTGCTGACGGTGGACAACGTTCACAAGGTGGACAAGGCGATGATCAGATCTTGGCGACTTCAGTTTCCTCGAGCCAAGAAGGTCGTTGTGGGAGGAGGATGGCCATGCATCAATCATTCATCATTGAACTCCAATCGGAGAGGGGCAGACGCAGAGTCGTCACGACTACTGGATGTGATGCTGGCGCTGGTAGAGGAGTTGAAACAGGTCAGCCGACCTCTGCGATTGCCAGACTGGGACGTCGTCGAGTTCTATGAGAACGTGGTGATGGATGAGCAAGATCTTACTGTTCAGTCAGGGAAGATAGGTTGTCTTCCACTCATGTGTGAAGCTGCCGACGCCCTCAGATGCCGACGACCGCGGCTATATTGGATCAAGAACTTGCCAGTTCTTGAGGGACAAGATTTGCAGCTTCTTCCTGATCAGCAAGTAGGTGATCTACAGACCAAGTTGGTAGTGGCCAAGATCTCTACCGAACGACCACCATTGGAATGGTTTCTTCGAAAGAACTGCAGCAAGCTGCATGATGATGGGAGGCCATTCTTCACCTTTGCAAGGCCTCATCCTCGGGCAGAACCACCCCGAGATCCAGCAGGATATGACCGCTGTGATGCCAAGACCCTGGGGCGCTGGCGGGGCGATTCATTTCGACTGGCACCTTACCAGTATTCAGAAGACAACCTGGTGCGCACAGCTCAAGGCCCACGGCGCCTGCTTTCAGATGAACAGTTGAGGATGTTGGGTTACAACTCTGATGCCTTGGACGTCAAGCAGAAACTGTCAGAAGACCAGAGAGGGCAGCTGATTGGCAATACCTTCCCCGTGCTGGTGGTAGCACGGCTGCTTGTGGCCTTGTGCGTGTCATCAGAGCATGTTCAGGGCCTGGATCTGACAACTGAGCTTTGGAAGGTTTGGAAAGGAAATGAGGATCGTGTTCAGCAACTCAAAGAGTCTTCCTGGACGGTCCGTTTTGGTCCGGGGGCCGCGGGGTCAGCAGGTGGTCTCCGGCACTCCCTCCGGGTGTCTGGAAGCCATTTGCATTCCCCTAGGTCCCTGTTAGACCCCAATGCTGCTTTGAGTGATGAGCAGCTTCTCACATATCTCATCACTCGAAATGTTTCACACAGAGGTACCGATGTCAAACTGGACCATGGAATTCCGTTCTCTGCCAGCGACTTCTGCCGACGATCTGTGGATCCCACGTTGTGGGAATGGAAAGTCGTGCTGTCTTACAAATGGAAACAGCCCAATGCCCACATCACTCATCTGGAAACAGTTGCAGTGTTGGATCTGATGCGGAAGCTGAGCAGAACGTCGACCAACTTCAACAAGAAGTCGCTGTTTCTGGTCGACAACGCTTCCGTTGTGGGTATTCTGACAAAGGGACGCACCAGTGCAAACAGCCTACGACAACCTCTCCGACGCCTAGCTGCCATTTTGGTGGCCACCTCCGCACGCCTCATAGTGGCCTGGGTCAAATCGGAATGGAATCCAGCAGATGGCCCATCGAGATGGGTCACTAGACGGGCTTTGCGCGATGCCTAGACAGCGGCAAGTGTTGGCAAAAAGGACCCGGGCACAGAGGCGACAGGAGCGACAGGCGTTGGGAAGGTTAAAATCACAAGTAGTTTCACCAAAAACGGAAGAACGGTACCTCACAAGTGTTTCACGATTCCTGGAATTTCTTATTGCGCATGGTAAACCTTATCCCCAGTCTTTTCTGATTTTAGATCGTGAAGTTTCACTGTTTATAGAAGAATTATGGGAACAGGGAGACCCAAAAGGATGGGCTGGTGACTGCCTTAGTGGCTTAGGACATTTCATTCCATCCTGTAAGCCATACTTAGTTGGTGCCTGGCGACTTCATGCGGCATGGGGACGAGCTGAACTTCCTTGTCGTGCTCCGCCCTTTACCCCCCTGTTACTGTATGCTGTTGCGCAAGCGGCTGCTGACTATGGCTGGATCGATTTGGCTGTCCTTCTCATTCTGGGCTTTCACACATTTGCGCGTGCAGGGGAGCTCTTCCAGGCAAAGGCTGGGGATTTTGTGTTGGGAGAAAAATCGGGAACTTGGACTCTTCCCCTGTCTAAAAGTGGTCAACGTCAAGGGGTCACGGAGAGCATTCTCTTGACTGATCCTTTTGTTTTGGTTCTCCTTCGAAATTTCATGTCTAAACTGGCCCCGGGGGATCCTCTTTCCACTGTTTCTGGTGGCACTCAACGAAAACGCCTAAATGATGTGCTTATTTCCCTCAAGATTTCTTTCCCCTTCCGGTGGTACAGTGTTCGCAGGGGTGGAGCAACACAGGCATATAGAACCACTAATAACATTTCTGCTATTTGTGTCAAAGGACGATGGAATAGTGTGAAAACTGCTCGTATTTATATCTCGGATGCAGTTGCTCAATTAACTGAACTCAAACTATCAGATGCGCAGTTGCGCCATTTTCGCCATTTGGCACACAAATGCCGACCTTCTTTTGAAACGGCAGTTGTTTGATCTCCCTCCTCTCCCTTACCCTTGGCTTCTTTCCACCTGATCCTTCCTGCTTGAGCCAGCTTATTTGCGCAAAAACGGGAAGGATGGTACACAGGGTGTGTCTGTTTCTTGGCATTGGCCAAAAAGGGAGTGCAGACACAGGTGGTTCTGGGTAGGTGAATGCGCGCTGGGTGCTGAGGGAACCTGGGGGGCTCCAGACATCTGGTGGCTCTAGATGTTCTTGGTGTGTCCTGTTGGTTGTTCCCTTGGTGTTCACCTTTCGTCTCTGAGATGTCTCATCTCTTAGATCAATTACGCCTCTAGCGCAGCTCAGTCACTAAAAAGGAAGTCATGAGAATGTTGAACACTAGCAAACGGTCCCCAGTAAGATAGTGTGATACATTTGTTGTGACTGAAGCTTCTTTGCTTACCCACCACCAACCCCTGTGCGCCACCACATGGGGGCCCTGTGTACTTGTCTGTGTCTGTTTCATGGCATTGGCCAAAAAGGGAGTGCAGACACAGGTGGTTCTGGGTAGGTGAATGCGCGCTGGGTGCTGAGGGAACCTGGGGGGCTCCAGACATCTGGTGGCTCTAGATGTTCTTGGTGTGTCCTGTTGGTTGTTCCCTTGGTGTTCACCTTTCGTCTCTGAGATGTCTCATCTCTTAGATCAATTACGCCTCTAGCGCAGCTCAGTCACTAAAAAGGAAGTCATGAGAATGTTGAACACTAGCAAACGGTCCCCAGTAAGATAGTGTGATACATTTGTTGTGACTGAAGCTTCTTTGCTTACCCACCACCAACCCCTGTGCGCCACCACATGGGGGCCCTGTGTACTTGTCTGTGTCTGTTTCATGGCATTGGCCAAAAAGGGAGTGCAGACACAGGTGGTTCTGGGTAGGTGAATGCGCGCTGGGTGCTGAGGGAACCTGGGGGGCTCCAGACATCTGGTGGCTCTAGATGTTCTTGGTGTGTCCTGTTGGTTGTTCCCTTGGTGTTCACCTTTCGTCTCTGAGATGTCTCATCTCTTAGATCAATTACGCCTCTAGCGCAGCTCAGTCACTAAAAAGGAAGTCATGAGAATGTTGAACACTATATTTTGTTTCTTAGTCATATTTTTCAAAAGGTAGGTTATATATATATATAGAATATGATGAGGCCTTATGGTAGATATATGATATATGATATATTATTGTATATATATATAATGTATTATATGGCATCCACAAACCCTCAGTGGCTACGGTCCGAATCCCTTGGATCTGGGTCTCTGGCGATTCGCTCCGTCCAATCTTTAGGCCGGGCGTTCAGGAGATCGGTGCCAAGACCTGGAAGGTGGTTTCCGGAGGTTTCATGGTGACCTTACTGGTAATACTATGTTAGATTAGTTGGTTTTTCAAAAGCCCATTATATATATATATATATATTGTTCCATGTTTTTTTTTAGCAACTTATAGAGGTTCGACTAATGGTGAAATATATGATGTTATATGAGTTGAGGTTATATCATATAGTTATATGTTATATATTATGTTATATTAGTTGGGCTTATATAAGATTGTGTTAAGATGGTTATAATGGCTGGGGGTGAAAATTTGAGATTATGTT